AAGTTATATAAGTAGAGGCTGATTTATTCTTTTCAAGAAAGATTTTGGCAGCATTGAAGAATATGACCTGGGACAAAGGTCTTCCTGGCATTCACCCCATTGGATGCCCAGGTGAACCCCTTGTGCAACCTTCCTGGTGCTCTGAACCCCTATGTTTTCATCTAATGACACATGTCTTGGCTAACTATTATTTCTTTCACAGACTAATGTGGGTCAATGCAATTACCCTTCTTGATTTGAAATAATGAAAATGCTATGAACTAACAGATAGTATTGACCTTCAGAAGGGTCACAATATAATTGCTGAAGTCTCCACAAATTGTCTCTATGGTAAAGATTCTTCAACAACATCCAACATAGACATCCTCTGTCCCCTACCATGTTTCCATTCCCCACTTATAATATCTGTCACAGTAGAGTACCTAGAAGCTGCCAATAAGATATCTTGCATCCCACATGGGATATATTCCTAGACAGACCATTTATTGGGTCACCAAACAAGCATCAATAAATTCATGAAGTCTGAAGTCATATATAAAGTATCTTGTCTAATCACAACGTTATCAAATCAGAAATCAACCACAAAAAGAAAGCAGAAAAAAAAATCCTAATATATAGAGACTGAGCAACACACTACTGAATGACTATTAGGTTAAAAAGGAAATCAAAGAAAAAATTTAAAAATACAAATGTAAATGATGATTCAACTAACCAGAATATATGGGACACAGCAAAAGCAGTACTAAGAGGGAAATATTCAGGTGTGCATCAAGAAACAACTCAAATAATTTATCTCTTACCTTAAAGAACTAAGAAAAGATGAACAAACAAAAAAGATGAACAAACAAACAAAATCAAAAGCCAGGAGAAGGAAGAAGATAAAAACTAGAGCAGAAATTTAAAAAATCAAAAAACAGTCCAAAGGCTCAAAGGAACCAAAGGTTGGTTCTCTGAAACAAATTAGCAATGTAGTCAAAACTCTAGCTAGACTCACTAAGGAAAAAAAGCCGAAATGTCTAATAAATAGAATCAAAAATGAAAGACAAATTACAATAGATATTTCAGAAATACAGAATATCAAAAGAGATTACTATAAACATCTATATGCCAACTGATTGAATAACCTAGATGAAATGGACAGATCCTTAGAATCCTCCAAAACTGAATAAGAAATATAAAACCTGAACAGATCAATTACAAGGAAATAAACAGTAATTAAAATTCTCCCAAAAAAAAAATGACCAGGACAAGATGCTTTCTTTAATGAGCTCCACCTAATTTCCAAATAGAAACTAATACCTACCCTTCTCAACAATCTTCCAACAAAAAACAAAGATGGAATACATCCAAAAGATTTTATGAGGCCAACATTACCCTGATATCAAAACTAGAAAGAGACAGCACAAAAAAAGAAAATTATATAGCAATTTTCCTGATAACAGATATAAAAATCCTCAACAAAAATGTTAACATACCAAATTCAACAATATACCAAAAGGATCATATGTCATCACCAAGTGGGGTTTATGCCAGGGACACATGGATGGTTTAACATCCAAAAATCAATCAATATAATTCACATCAATATAAGGTAAGGTAAAAATCATATGATCATATCAATAGATGCAGGGAAAGTATTTGGTAAGATTCACCATCCATTTATGATAAAAACCCTCAGCAAACTAGGGATAAATAGAATATACCTCAACACAATGAAGTCTGTATATGACAAGCCCACAGGTAACATCATTTTCAACAGTGAGAAAGATTTTCCACTACAATCTGGTATAAGTCAAGGATATTCACTTTCACCATTACTATTCAATATCGCGTTGAAACTCCTAGCTAGAGAAGTTAGGCAAAGGAAAGATAAAGAATCCAAAGAAGCAAAACTATCACTTTTTGCAGATGACATAATATACACAGAACACCCTAAAGCATACACTAAAAAAGTGGCAGGTTACAAAATCAATTTACAAAAATCAGTTGTGTTTCTACATGCACACAATGAGCTATGAAGTAGAAGAAATAAATTAATCCCATTTACAATCAAATAAAAAAGAAATATGTAGGAGTAAATTTGGAGCTGGTGAAGGACCTGTGTAATGAAAACTATAAAGTAAATAAATAGAATTCACAAAGAAATAGAAAGCTATTCCCTTCTCATGGAGTAGAAGAATTAATGTGGTTAACATGCCCATCTTGCCCAAAGCAATACATAGATTCAATGCAATCGCTACCAAAGTTTCAATGGCATTCTTCAAAACAATAGAATAAACATAATTGAAATTTATATGGACCATTAACAGATCCTGAAGAACCAAAGTACTCCTGACAAAAAAGAGGAAGAATGGTGGTATCACACTCTCAAACTTCAAACTATACTACAAAGATGCAATAATCAAAACAGTATGGTATTGGAACAAAAAGACACAGAGACCAGTGGAATCAAATTGAGAGCCTAGAAACCAACACTTATAAGAACAGTTAACTGATGACAAAGACGACAAGACTATGCACTGGAGAAGGGATAGTCTCTTCAGTAAATGGTGTTGGGAAAACTGGACAGCCACATAAAAAAGAATCAATCTAGATCACTATCTAACACCATACACAAAAATTAACTCAAAATGGATAAAAGTCTTGGATACAAGACCTGAAATGATGAGATGCGTAGAAGAAAACATAAGCAAAACACTCAATGATAGAAGCTTCAGTGATGGCTCTGTGAATTTGTCTCCAACAGCAAGAGAAACAAGAGACTATAAACAACTGGCACTATAACAAACTAAAAAGGTTCTCCACAGTGAAAGAAACTATTACAAAACAAAAAGACACCCTTTTGAATGGGAGAAAATATTTACAATACCAGCAAGGGTTGATAACCAATATCTCCAAAATACTCATACAACTCAACAGAAGGAAAACAACCCAATCAAAATATGGGCAGAAGAGCAAAACACACACTGCTCCAAAAAAGACATACAGATGGCCAACAGGCACATGAATAAACGCTAATCATGACTCATCATCAGGAATGCAAATCAAAATCACAATGATACCATCTCACACCTGTGAGAATGGCCCATATACAAAAGGCCAGAGACAACAAATGTTGGTGAGGGTGTGGAGAAATGGAACCCTCATTTGTTGGTGGTGGGAATGTAGATTGGTCCAGCCTCTACGGAAAACAGTTTTAGGATTCCTCAAAATATAAAAAATACATCTACCATATGACCCAGCAATTCCACTCCTCAGTCTCTACCCAAAGGACTACAAAAACACTAATTCAAAGGGATACATGCACTTTCATGTTTACTGCAGCTGTATTTATAAATAACCAAGTTATGGAAATAACCTAAGTGCCCAAAGGCAGAGGAGTGGACTAGGAATATGTGGTCTATGCACACACAAGGGTACACTATGCAGTTATAAAAAAAAAAAAAAAAGATAAATTTCTATCAATTTGCAACAATATGGAAACAAAATAAGTTATAAGGAGAAAGACAAATACCAGATGGTTTTATTTATATGTGAAATATATACAGAAACACAACAGGGTCAGATAACAGCAAATCAATAACAAACCCCAAAAATATGACTGTAGAATTGAGGTTACCAGTTGGCGAGTGGGCAGAGAACAAAGCAGGGAGGGTCACTACGGACTGTGGTGAGGGGCTATGGGTGCCTTGGTGGTGGGCAGTGTGGTAACACACACCTGAAGGGTGTGATCCTATACCTCTGAACCATACACAGTATTGTTATCTTGATAATGTTATCTAAATGAAAAATTTTTGAAAAAATGTTACCTTGCATCCTACATGTGGCACATTTTACTTTATAGTCAAAACACCATACACATATCTAAACACCATCCTCAATTACCCTTCAGTGAACGTACTGTGTTAACTCAAGCTTTGCTGCAAGTCTTAGGTGGTAAAGACATAATGGGTCCATTGGCACATTTGTACCCGATGAAGCAACAGTGCAGAAAGGCTATTAGCAAGGAGGCCAGGCTGCTGCACGCAAAGGAAATGAGATGGAATAAATAGGCACGTCCCCTCAAAACAATGAAAATAAATCGGGTTAGCTTTTCTCCCTCCAACTAAACCAAATTTAAAAAAAAAAAGAAAAAAACCCTGAGGCAAATCAACACGCTGTTTTAAAAAACCATCTCAGTTATAATAAGCCCAGAGTATTTCCCAGGCCTTTTATTGTTATGACAAACAAACCCATCTTTCACTTCTTGTCATTTGCAATTACCACGCCATAATTGAAAACCAGTGAATCACTATGGAGCTTTGGGGAGAGCGTGCCTGCGAGCTCTGAGCTGTCACTGCAATCATCACAGAATCAACAAACAATCTCAAGAGCTCATTCTTCGTCATCTTTCACCTGTATATTGCAGAAAATCTAGAATTGTATATTCTGTAACTCCCCGCTTCCCCTAAAGATGGAATATTTCAAAGCATTTTCCCCTTCAAAACACTGCTTTTCTCTTCTTCAACAGCCAACATGAGGCCAAAAGACCTCAACATAATTTAGATCTATTTGTAGGAGCCAAGAATTCAATTAAGAGAAGAATTATCTTGCAAGGGTTTCGGCGATTCAGTCAATTAACCTTCTTGTGACAATGAGAAATGGAATGTGAACCTCTTAACAAAAGGGTCCACAAGGGACGGACCGGCTAGGGCGGGGGCATCTGGGTCCTCTCTGCAACCTTGCCCCACTGGCAAAGCCTCACGACACTGCAGGGTCTGGCTTTAGGAAGCTACAGAACTGACAGGTTCACTTGTGGGCCTCTCACATCTCACCTCATGCAGAGAGTGTCCTTAACGGTTTTTGAGTTTATAGACTTTAAAAGGTCAGTAGCATAACTGCCATGCTTTTTCTTCATAAACAAGCTCTATTTCCTTGACCTCATGAAAAACAAGTTTCACTGTCATGTGAGAGAAGCAAGATCCTCAACACTGGGACTAGGCCCTCGTGGAGGGGCTCACCTTGGTGGCTTCCTCCACGCTCTCCCTCAGGGCCTGCAGCTCAGCATCGTACTGCTCCTTCAGCTTGTCCATCTCCTGGTCGTGGCTGGAAACCTCTTCCTTCAAGGCTCCCTTCAGAGCAGTGAGTTCCCGCTCCCGCTTTCTCAAAAGGTCTTCCTGCTCCTCTTTGGCGATGAGCAGATCTTGAAGATCCTGTTTTGCTTGTAAGAGCTCCTAGAGAGGGGACAGACCAAGAGGGGAGGTGAAGATTCAACATCTTTGTCAAGATGTCGACAGCCCTGCTTGGCTCCTCCAGTTTAGCGCCCTGGCCGCTCTCACAACACCCCCCGCCCCGGTCCCCACGCTCTCCTTGCCCCTCAGAAACACTGGGATAGACCACCTCTTCTCCCCTTTCATTCCAAGAAGCCCTCCGTCCCCTGGATAGGCTGCATTAGCTGTTTTTGAGATTTGATTTGCGGAAGAAAAGGAAACATTTTCACTACTTTGAGGGTCATTTCATCTCTAAGCTCCTGTCCTTGCTACTAGCCTTTCTGTTCCTGTTGCTTTCTGGAGGACAGGCTGATTTGCTGGCCTCCCTCACTTCACAAGCCCTGGACTCCTGCGTGTGCTCTAAACCCTAATCCATGCACCTGTTGGGGCGACTCTGCCCTGCTCTCCTCCTATTGCACTTGCCCTTGCAGCAGGGCACAATATTCACAATTTCTGCTCAACTTCCAAGGGTTCATGAGGAAGTCACAAAACTGGGGCAACGAGTTCCACTAATCGCATTACCAAAGCCCAAGTGTGTCCTGCCAAAAGCCCAGCATTCCTTTCACTTCACCATCATTGCCCTAGACCAGCTCAGCTCTCCTCAAACTCAGGACCTGCGCTTACTTCACATGAGGGGAACTTGGCCAAGACCTTACAGTTTCCTCCTACCCAGGCCCTCCCTGCCTCCACCCCTTCTCCCCAGTCATAGCCCCTTCATAGTGTGAGCTGTCCTTGGCCTGCTGCTCCAAGTCTTTACTCCATCGGTTATCTTTTGCTTTGGTCATTTTGTTCTTTTATGATTCCTTGAATCTGTACCTTTTCCCCTATGGCAGAGAACCCTCTGAGTCAAGAGGGGCAAAAAAGCCTTTACCATCTAACTTGAAAGTGTAATTTCTGCTCACAGCCTCTACTTCTTGACCACCCATTCACTCCTCAGCCTCTTGCTATGTGGCTTTTGTTGCTATGCTACTAAGATTGCTCCTCCAGGTCACCTCTAACTCACCCCATCCAATGTTTCTTTCTAGGTCTTCACTTTTCTGAACCTCTCCTTTATCTTCCCCACCAGTCGCCTCAAAATTCTCTTGGCCTTATATTTGAAGATATGACACTCTCCTGGTCTCTTCCCTCTTCCACTTTTTCTATGGCAATCTTTTCTGGCTTCTCTCAATCTCTCCCTATAAGCTAAGATGCATTCTTCAGTCTTTGCTGGCAAGTTCATCTATTATTTTTCCAACTAGTAATTCTACATCAATAACTTCCACACCTCTACTTCCAGCCCTTATTTTAGATCTGTACTGCCAATGACCTGCTAGATACATCCTTCTGGAGGTTCTACGGGCACCTCATGTTTAATAGGCTTACAATTTTCAGTCAATTCATTTCCTTCCTTTCCTCTTCTTTTTTCATTATTCTTATGAAAGATACCACTTGCTAGGGAGCTTGGCAGCAACCTTGACTTCTCTCATCTTTGTCCCTCACAACCAGTTAGTTCATCTTAGATCCTTCCTCTCACCTCCCTGATTTCTTTCCACTCCTAACACCTCCTGCCTAGGTGGTTTACAATAACCTGACTGTGCCCTACAACCACTCTCTTACCTGCAGCCTCTACACCACCACCATACCAGCACCCTGTGTCTAGAGTGCGCTTCTTCCCACCTCTCTGCCTTCAGAAAATCTGTAAGAATCAGATACTATGTGACCTCCTCCAAGAAGTCTTCCTAGGATCCCTTGTCCTTTCTACCCCTCTCATTTTAGTTGTACTTAGCACCAGCACTTAATATTCTTTCCTTGCAGTCCTTGTATTTAGATTATTTTATCTTCCCAACAAGTCTGTCAGTTCCTTATAAGAAAGGTAGAGATCTGATTTGTCACACTTTCAGTGGATCAACAGCAGGACCCTGTCTGTTTGGCTATAAATAAACATGGACAATACAGCAGGGAACTGGAAAGGTCACGAATCTATACTAATCTATTCTTTCACTGGTGGCTTCTGAGGAAATACACATCCTGTTCTCATGCAGCTCCTGGGGATCAGAGGAAAGGTTTCCACCTGGGGACCTGAGATAGCAAATTTCCATTCAAGAAGTGTGACTGATGAAGGGATGAAAATATTTGCATGAATTTAAGTATAATTGACAATAAAATCTTCTTCCTTGTGGTCTCACTCATAGCAGAAATCTAGAAAACTTAAATAAGGGACCAGGAAAAAGAATAACTATAAGAAAGAAAATATCAAAATCAACAAATAACTATGAACAAGAGACACTCTATGGGGGGCGGGGGGTAGGGAGGGGAGGGATTGGGGTCAAAATAAGGGGATTGCAATTGTATGGGGAATATAAAAATAAAATTTATTAAAAAAAAAATCTTTCTTGTCTCTAGGACACACACATCGATTAAACCAGGGGAACCTCTAAACTAAGCCCTTCAAGAATCTGACCAGCAGGCATTAATATATAAGCTCAGGGGCCTCCCCGGTGGCGCAGTGGCTGAGCGCTGGGCTGCGAAGCTGCCCGCAGCCTCTGCAGTACTGGTTCGATCCCCGGCTGCCGGCAAGGGTCCCACATGGTGCGCAGACCTCTCCTGCCACGCCCGCTGCTCCCTCAGCAGTGTACTTTGGTCCTTCTGCCTGTTCTGCTCCCCACTCTGACTCTTGTGAATTCTCTCACCCTCCCGCGCTTCTGACTGTACCCAGTGCTTGTATAAATAAATAAATAAATCTTTAAATAAATAAATAAATAAGCTCAGATGAAGCCTCTAGAGGACCAGTCAGATAACTAAGACAGCCCAGGTTCTTTCAAAGCACCTAAGAAACACAAGAGCAAATCTTATGAAAATATCCACATCCTGACATTTGTCAAAGGGAACCAGCCCTTAGGCTCACTGCCCAGCACCCCCCCACCCTCCCAAGGAGAACAGGGACTCCTCTCCTCTCTGCTAAGTGGTACCCCTAAAGGTTCTCCTGGAGCCTCCCGCCAGCCTATTCACAACAGCCTTTGTGTTTCTAACACCCTGTTTCCTGCTCTTACTCTCACACATTTCTCAATTGTTTGGACGATAAGGCAGTTCCTCTTCCCACACTTATCTTTTCCAGGATACAACTGTATTTTGTTTTGTCTTTTGTGTACTGCCGCCAACGCATGTCAAGAACTTCAGTTTTTATGGCTCATTCAACACCAACATGTGTTATCTGTGCCTGGTGCTGTTGATTAAGTGGCTTGTGTTATATAAATCCAATCAGATTACACCTCACATATCATTTAGTAGCACTTGAAATTTCCCAGATTAGAGACCCAGAGAAAAAGTCAATTTTCACTTCATCACCTCGGTAGCTTTACTGCCAATTATGTCGAGCCAAAGGAGAGAGAGAAAATATATAAACTTCAAAACTTAAGCCAGCATTCACCAGAGATGATCACGCCTCTTATAGACTTCAATCAACAAAAACAAGGGAAGCTCTGGCCTTTCATAATCAGTTTTCACAACTTAAGTGCATGCAGGTTAGTCACACACAAAAAACACCCAGGAATGAAAGCCCAGTGTGTTGTGAGGAGTTGGGGTGCTGACTGTATAAAAGTTGACTATACTGCACAATTGATACATAGTATACTAGAAGCAGCAGTGATACCCTAACACCAGAATACCCACAGCACCAACTGATTTGCCCACAGAAAGTTCTGGCTCATATCTACTCACAGGTATTTCCTGTCAAAATGAAAGGTCTGACCTACAGGTTCTGCAAAATGCTTTCCAGAAGAGTCCCTCTATAGGGCATGAGATCCATGTTCATTGAAAAGATATGCAAAAGGTCATATATCCGGGGCCTCCCTGGTGGCACAAGGGATTAAGTCTCAGCACTATGAAGCTATTGGCACCACAGCAGCATGAGTTCGATTCCCAACCAGGGGGCTGACCCACCTGGCACAACAGACCTCTCCTGTCTGGCCTGTTGCTCCCCTCAGCAGTGTATTTAAGCAGATCTGCCTGTTCTGCTCCCCACTCTCTGGTGAATCCTCTCACCCCCCCACCCCAATTCTTGCATGCATAAATAAATCTTTAAAAAAAAGTAACAAAATCATCCCCCTGTTGTTCAATTAACAAGTCACAAAAGAAAACAGTATTTTTTATACTGTTTGTTTTTTCCTTCTTTCCTTCCTATTACAAAAACACCTTTACTCTCTCTTGGTGTGCCTTTGCTGATTCCCTATGGGATCCCCATGTTATTTAACAAAATATGAAGTATTAAAAAGAGATTTCATGAAAAATCTTGTTCACTGTGCAGGTCACGCAAAATACAGTAGTCTTACCCCTTTTCATTCAAAAGCTTGAGTGTTTAGTGTTCTTTGTGTTTTAGAGAGTGTTACAAACAAAACACCATGGAAAGCTGATAACTGTACTCTGTTATCAGAGTGCCCCAGCCACTTTTTATTAAGATACCAGGAATAAACTGAAAGTAGCAAAGAGATGGGGGTGTATTTTTATTAGTGATATAGAAACCATGTTATCATATCTTAAATGTTGCTGACAAATCAAAGGCAGCTGATAAAAATAGGATGATTTTCTAGTACCCCATCAGGGCATGGAGCTGCTAACTGTGCCATGACTTGTGTTACAAAAAGCAGCAAATTAATTCCCACTATAGGAAAGAGTGAAATAAACAGGAATCCAGAAACATCAGGAACATTTTCAAGTAAAGATGCATTTTGCTTCCCTTTCTTATGTGTCTCCTTATCAGCCTCTGCCTGAAAACATGCCACCAAACCAAGGCTCATAGCCTCGGCTATGATTAAGTCAATAAACAAATTAATCCAATTATAATCATTAATGTATTTCCATTACATTGTGTTTAAAGCAAAGAAGCATTCAGAATTATTCACTTTTTTAAAAAATGTTGACTTTTGAAAGTGATTTAAATACTGAAAATTATTTATTCCTTTGCTACATTGCCTGGCTTTGAGCTACACATGAAACAGAAGAAGCAAAGATGATATATACTTTTGAAGTAGCTGTCTAGTAGGAGAATGAGACAGGTACAAAGCAGCACAAGGTCAATGTGCTAAAACAGAGAATCTAAACAAAGATTAAAGGGCAACTAACAATTATAGGTCTCAGTTCATGGGAAAATTCAACAGATTGAGAAGCTTCCCAATAGCTGAGATAATACTGATCCCTTCTATAATCTCCTGTGCCCATGCAAGGAATAACAGAATAGAGACAAAATCTTCTTCCCTTCTATTTACCTTCTATTTGTGAAGCTACATTTTTACTAAAATCTGTACTGTTCAGTGGCATTATTTCTGGAAACTAATCCTTAGGAACATTTTCTAAAGAGGTAAAAGGATATATATAAAAAATGTGCACCACAGTATTTTCCATAATTAAAAAAATATATAGAAGAATGAATTTTTAAGGTTTGGGCCTCCCCAGTGGCGCAGCAGTTGAGCGCTGGGTTGCGAACCTGCCCGCAGCCTCTGCGGCACCGGTTTGATCCCCGGCTGCTCCCCAGCCACCGGAGGAGGGTCCCACATGGCGCGCAGACCTCTCCTGCCGCCCGCTGCTCCCCTTAGCAGTGCACTTCGGTCCTTCTGCCTGCTCTGCTCCCCGCTCTGGCTCTGGTGAATTCTCTCACCCTCCCGTGCTTCTGACTGTACCCAGTGCTTGTATAAACAAAACAAACAAACAAACAAATAAATATAAATAAACATGCCTCTATAAAAATTTAAAAAAAAAAGAATTTTTAAGGTTTATCACCTTAAAAATGAAATATGAAAGACTTAGAGAAGTCTAACAAAGAAAAATGGTTCTAATGTATTAACTTTTTAAAGTAGGTATCAAAACAATAGGGTCTCTGCATTATAGATGGGTAGATGAAGCCTAGCAATGACTACAGAAAACACAGGAATAGGAAATTGCTAGTAAAAGATGTGCTCCCACACCCCATTTTAAAAGATCATTCTATGTTAATATTTCAATGATAAATATACATATTCTCAAAGCCCCATTTTAACATACCCTGGTGTTTGTACTCCTGAGCCCTGAAAAGAAGGCAGAGGAAGGAGAAGCAAACTAATACCACAAATGTGGTGACTTTTAGGGAACTGCTGGATAAAAAGGGGTAAACCAGGTGGTGAAGAATAGGCCTGTGGCCCTCTCAGGAGAACAGGTTTAAACAGAGGAGGAGGGATGGTCATGAGGAGAGGAGAGAAATAACTCCCCTCTGCTCGAGGGGAAGAAGAATTCACGAGAACTCCTACCTAAGCAGCCATGCGCCTCTGCTCTCTCTCCACCCCTGCCGAGTCATGGGGAAGAGAGAGGCTAAGTTCTAAAGAGGCTAAGTTCTAGAGAGGCTAAGTTCTAAAGAGGCTAAGTTCTAAAACCCCTTCTGGGGAATTACTTCAAAACTAACCAAGGAAGGGAACGAGAAAACAGTTGACAGCTAAGACTGGAGGAACCAGGTCTTACAAGCAGAAGTCAGGAACTCACCTGAAGGAAGGGACAAAGACAAGACCCAACCCCTCAGAGGAAAAGCAGTAGAAAATGAAATGCAAACACTAACATGGTACCTTTATTTGGTGATGGTTTTGGGTTTTTTTTTACTTTTTCTAAATTGTGTATTGTTTATTTGTTGAGCTGTTTCTATAAACCAAAGATTACAGAAATAAAATTCGAACCAGCCCCAAAATACAGTACATGATAATATTATAGCAAATATTAAAACATCTAAGTGAACCAGAAATGAAGGTTCCTTTTCAACCCTCACTCCCAATAACAAAATACTGACATTCAAAATCTATACTTATGGGCCTCCCTGGTGGTGCAAGGGATTAAGACGCAACCTATGAAGCTATCCACAGCCTCTGCAGCACGAGTTCAATTCCCGGCCAGGGAGCTACCCACATGGCATGGCAGACCTCTCCTGTCTCCTCTGCTGCTTCCCTCAGCAGTGTATTTCAGTGAGTCTGCCTGTTCTGTTCCCCACTCTGTCTCTGGTGAATCCTCTCACCCCCCCCACACCTCTGGCCTATACCCCAGTTCTTGTATGCATAAATAAATCTTTAAAAAATCTATACTTATTCTCTAATCATTTCATATGCATACATCTAACACCTCAAAGGATGGCAGTCTAGTTCAGGTAATTATTATTTTTGGAAAACCCCATAATATTTAACAAAAGTTAATAAGCAGAGGAAAGAGTCAAACTTACCCACTCATAGATGACTCATAGATTGATAAGAACAAAATATCCAATAAGGGGTAGCTAGACAGACAGGCTGTGCACACAGCAAATAAATCCTGTCACAACACCTCCATCCTACCATCTAGCAAACATCCACTGACTGCCACATGGCCCGGCTTTGGGAGAGTAGCTTGGATACAGTGCTGAGCCAGCTACCATCAGCCCCACCCTCCTAGAACTTACAGTCTTGTGGGGGCTTTAAACAAATAAAAACAACCTATGAGAAATGCTGCATCAATATTAATGTGATATCAAAGTCTTCCAATGTGTTTCCATGAACAGCATTACTTACAAAGTATTTCTGCCTGACGTTTAACCTGAATGTATTAGTCAGTGTTTAGATCTAAATTCATTTACTAGAAATACAGAGAGTAGTGGAATAAGTTCATAAACACCATAAGGGAATAATCAGACAAATCCCACAAGGTTAGGCATTGGTCTGATCTTTTCAGAAGATGGATAGAATGAGGAAAAATAGCAGAGGGCAGGGATGGGGCGGGATGGACTAAACTAAGATAAATGGACTCTGAGCAAGATAAAAGTGAAAGCAATGGGAAATTCTTCATTGGATTCTGGCTTGAAGGAAGGAATGATAAAACACACTTGGGAGACAACTGGGAAATTTTGAATAATACCAGGTATTGCAACTGTTGCTATTATCTATACAATGGGAATTATTAATTTTAGGTATGATAATACTACAGTTATCAGAAAATTCCTGGATTTTTCGAGGATGCATGAAAAGTGATGTTTTCTGTAACGTGCTTTGAAGTGCTTCAGCAAAGGTAAGTGGTTGGATGAAAAAGCAGAATGAGTGGAAGGACAGATGAATAAATGAAGAATATATGACAGTAGGTTCACAACCATTGCCCTGGGTAGGGGCCCTACGGCAGCTATTGCATTGTTCTTTCTACTTTTCTATAGGACTGAAAACTTTCCTAACATTTAAAAACTACCGTATGTGATGCTCTTTCAGAACCGAACCACAGGCACAGGCGGAGTGAATACACACAACAGAACACAGTTCAAGGCACCCAGTCCTCCCTCCCACCCCACCCTCTCTAGGAAGAGGGGGCCTCTTTCCTCACCTGAACCCACACTCCTCTTACCTCAATTAGAGCACCCTTCTCCCTGTCCTCGGATCGCTTAGCACTGTCCAATTCATCATGCATTTCTGAGAGTTGGTCCTGGAGATCCCTGATCTCAGTCTGGTGCTGTTCTCGTTCCATCTTCACCTGAAACAGTCTGGTAGGAGAGGAATCCATCAGGGAGATTCTTCTAAGCTCTGCTTGTTTTCATCTAGTCTGACTTCAGACCTTCAGATGGTCAAGGAAAATCACTCAAGTCCCAAGAGGACTCCTACTCTTTGTTCTTCATCGAACAAGGACTCACAAACCTGAAAAGGTACCTGGTTAAGAACTCCTGTCTATAGACTCACTGGCCAAACAGGAAGACAGTGAGAACTCAAACAAATTTGTAATGGGAAATGTTGTTTAGGGCCTTTTTCTCCCCCAAAGAAGATTGCAGTATATAAGAATTTGGATAAAGAGACTGACCAAAAAAACAAAACTTTAGATAAATGTTTTCACTGAAGTCACCCTATGCCTTAACACGCCCCTCCCCAATACTCTCGAGCAAGAGACTCAGCAAATTATGACTCATGACCCAATTTGGTCTGCTCCGTGTTTTTGTAAATAAATTTATTGAACACTCATGTTGATTAATTCTGTAAGGCTTATGGTCGTTTGCACAATACATAGCTATGTGCAAGGACAAGGATTTGACTTCCCTTCTCTGCAGACTCAAAGGAAGTTATAAGCACTGGTCACAGAGACCAGCACGACCCAGGATGAAAATTCACAAGCTGGGAGATTGCGGCGGTGAACTTTTTGAAGGCTAAATGAACTTTTTGGAGGCTATATCCAGACTCCTTGAAAACTGTATTTAGGTATCACAACTCAGTTTCCCCGCTATCACTTTCCTGCTATGAGATTCAGTCTAAGGACAGAAAATTTACAAGGCAATCTTTAAGGTGGACAAAGAATTTTAAAAATTATTACCGTCTGCCTACCAGTCTACATGTCACCAGTACCACAATTTTACAAGGATATTAGGGAGAAAAGGCAGGTAGGTCAGCAGTGTCCACAAATATTTGGAAAAATCAGGTATATTAAATGGTGGGAAAGTTCAGGCTACATTCAATGGAAGTCCCCAGAAGAGGCTCTTGCCCAGAACTTACTCTTCCAGATTCTTTCGAAGCTCCCCTTCACTTTCTTCCAGCCGCTGTTGCAGTACTGAGTTCTCTTCCACCTTATTGTCATGTTGGCTTTGAAGTTCTTTTAAGTTTGCTTTCATTCTCTCTCTCTCTTCTTTGATGTTCTGTTGATTCTAATATGAATACATGTGATGTACATTAAGGCAATTCCATAGATGCCACCTTCTAATAGCTAATGGACTCCATGTATTTGCATTTAAGTTATTAAGTAACAATCCAAGTAGCTAATGAAGGCATGGAAGTTTGTCACTGAAAAGGGTATTAATGAACTCTAATATTTCTAAAAGAAAACACACAGATAAATTTCATTCTACTATTTCTATTACTTAATCCAGATGTTTTACACACATTGAGTTTCCTATTGGCCTGCCTGAATCTAATAGCATTTCTTGTACTCCAGCAAAGCAAACAGACTCTAAAAGCTTTGGTTATTTAAAAGAAAAAAAAGTTATTTGCACAACGGGAGCCAAATGCACAGGAATTCACTCAGTGATGAGAAGAATGTTTCTCTTGAGAGGAAAAATAGGCTCTTACTTCATCTGGGCTTCCCAATGCGTTTAAAATATTTTTTATCAAGAAAGAAAGAAATGAAAAAAAAAAAAACAGCAAAGGAAAATTCAAATACCTTGGTTTCAAGTTGAAGCTGTCTCTGAAGTTCAGCGACTTCTGTGGTCAACTTGTTTTTCTGTTCCAATAGATCTTTGACTTCAGATGAAGAATTAGAAGCCTATAGTTAATTGTAAAGATCCTAATTTAAGGGTGTTCAAGATGCTTTATTTCAATTCTCTTTCCCACAAAAGATAATCAGAGCCATAACAGTAAACATTTTAAGACCCAGTTCTAATGGAAATCTCCTTGACTTCACAGAGTTAATCATGCTGTGCCCTCCACACAAGGTTCCAGTGAACTTTATTTTACACCTTTCATCACAGAAGAATTATTTCATCAAATCTCTCAACAATTGTCCAACATGACTAAAATTTGCTTTGTTTTCATATATGGATATGTCAAAAGTTTCTCCATAAATGGTAAGAGTCCTGTCCACAGAAATTGTTAACAAAACATCTACAACAAAATTTTCTTTAAAGTAAATTAGGAAAAGACATCTGCTTTTCTTTTTCGTAAAGATTTTTTTTATTTATGCATACAAGAACTGGGGTGTAGGCTAGAGGTGTGGGAGTGGTGAGAGGATTCACCAGAGACAAAGCAGGGAACAGAATAGGCAGACGGACTGAAATACACTGCTGAGGGGAACAGTGGACGAGACAGGAGAGGTCTGCTGTGCCATGTGGGTGGCTCCCTGGTAGGGATCAAACTCGTGTATCAGTGGCTGCCAATAGCTTGATATGCTGAGACTTAACCCCTTGGCCACCAGGGAGACCCCATTTTTCTATTTTTAATGGCAGAACACTTCAATTTAGCTTCAGTGTTTCTTAGGAGTAATTTGAGATTTACTACAGTAGAAGATCATGAACTTTTAGGGGGCAGGGACCAGGTCTTACATACTTCTGTTTCCTATACTTCCCCGCATTTTATAAAATTTCAATAAGTGATTGGTGATTTGTAGAATTCTGATTTCAATCTAGAGTAACTGATGTCAAACTATGAGAGCCAGATAAAATATATGTAATATAATTGTGTGTGGGCATTGCCAGAAAACCAACACTGGGCTATAATTCTTTTAAAAAAGGAAGCTCATGATTTAGCCCTACATTCACCAAGACTTCTCTCCAGTTGTATTTCCAAACCACAAAACACTAAAGTTTTAAAAATTTAATGTTATTAGGGAATAGAGAATGTAAACAAGATATCATTATTCACCTGTCAGAATGGCCAAACCAAAATCCAAAACATTAACAATATCAAATGTCGGCAGAGATTCAGAGCAATAGGAACTCACATTTATTCTAGTGAGAAAGTAGTTTGGCAGTTTCTTAGAAAACTAAACATACTCTTATAATACAATCAAGTGATCCCTCTCCTTGATATTTACTTAAATTAACTGAAAACTAATGTCCACACTAAAGAGGCAGGGAAAGCCATGGATTTCAGGATCAAGGTAGAGCTTCAAAGAGGCAGCTCCAAAAACTTGCATGAAATACTTCATGGATGATTTCTAAGCTGTATGAACAAGCAAGATCCTAAAAGGTCAGTTGCTGGGAGGCAAAAAACAACAGAGACTTAAGAGAACTACACATGCTAGGGAAACAGAATTCCAACTCAGCCAAAATAGATATCCTGGTGGGCATTCTAGCATTTGCTTGAAATCCATGAAAATAGTTAAGAGTTGTGCCTTAGAAGATGAAACACTTAAGTAGATCAACACTAACAATGCCTAAACTACCAAACATACAAAATCAAAACAATCTGTGAGTAATTTAACCTTCAGAGGGAGATAACGTGATACTCAACATCTGTAATTTATCCACAATATGTAGCATAAGTTTTTAAAAATCCTAGACATGCAAAGAACCAGGAAAAATAGACCAACAATCAGATAAGGCAGACAGTAGAAGCAGCAATGATCCAGATACTGGAGCTATGAGATAAGGACTTCAAAATAACTGTAATATTTTTTAAAGGCTATGGACAAAGATGAAGAATTTTAGTACACAATTAGATTCAAGTGGACATTGTAGAGTGGCAATACACAATATCTGAAATTTGAGAATTCAAAAGCCTGGCATAGCCAGAAAGCAAGATTAATAAATTTGAAAACAAAAAATATCTGTTGCACCAAAAGAAAAAAAAGGACATATGCACAGAATAGAGCATGAGCGATACCATCAAATGGCCTAAAACACATGTAGTTGGAATATGAGCAGTGTTGGGAAAGACAGATTGTGAAAGCAGCAATATTTGAAGAAATGGCAGCCAAAAATTTTTCAAATGTGGTGATTCTACAGATTCAAGAACTCAGTAAATTTAAAAAAAAAAAAAGCACACACTTATGTATAACAGTCAAACCTCTAAATTTCAAGATATAAAAAAGTATTAAAAGCAGCCATCACTTTCAGAGTGACAAAATTAAGAATGATGACTGAAGTCCATGAGGGCCAAAGGAAATAGAAATGTTTCTAAAGTTTAGAAAAGAAAAAAAAACTTGCCAAAATAGAATTCTTCAAATATGAGAGTGAATTAAAGACATTCTCAGATCAACATCTGAGAGAATTCACTGTTAGCAGAAAAGTATTCCAGGACATAGCAGAGGAAATTATTCAGGGTGGAGGAAAATTGTACTAGATGGAAACATGGAGTTATAAAAAAGGAATGAATACTGAACAGGGAATAAATCTAAATGAAAGCTGTCTAAGACCTCTACAACAAAAACTACAGAACATTGCTAGAAGTTGAAGATGTTCACAAATAAGAATGCCAGCACTGTTAAAATGGCAGCTACCACCAAACTTATTTGTACATTGAAAGTAATCCAAATCAAAATTTATGGAGGCTTTTGTGTATGTGTATGTAAATTGACAACTTATTCTAAAGTTTATATGAAAAGGTAAAGGCCTAAAAAAGCCAAGAAATCTTGGAGAACAATGAAGTTGGAAAAAGTATGTTGCCAGATTTACCGTACAATACACAGAAATCAAAACTATGGTATTGCCACAAGAAGAGACAAATAGACTAATGAAACAGAACAGAGAGTCTAAGTGTTAGAGAGGATACAACTAATGGAACTTACTGGTAGAAGCATAATTTGTTTCAACCATTTTGTAAAATCAGATAAAGCACTTATAAGCTACATATATGACTACTTTACATGTAGCAATTTTATACCTAACTATATTCCCAAGAGAAATGAGTGAATGTTTTTATTTCCCAAAGAAAAGAATGCTATGAGCATTCATAAAAGCCCAAAACTGGAAGTGCCCATCAAGAATACATACTATGGGGCCTCCCCTGGTGGCACAGTGGTTGAGCGCTGGGCTGCGAAGCTGCCTGCAGCCTCTGCAGCGCCGGTTCGATCCCCGGCCGCTGGGCGAGGGTCCCACAATGGCACGCAGACCTCTTCTGCAGCACCCGCTGCTCCCCTCAGCAGTGTGTTTGTTCTGTTCCCCGCTCTGGCTCTGGTGAATCCTCCCACCCTCCCGCACCTCTGATTGTACCCAGTGCTTGGATAAATAAATAAATAAATCTTTAAAAAAAAAAAAGAATACTAGTTGATTTACAAGAATGATCTCAAATAATTTTTTTTAAAAAAGAATACATACTATGGTATATTGATAGAAAGCAACAGATCGACAAAAAAGAGCTATTGATACAGGCAACACTACTGAATCTTGCTGACATAATGTTGAGGAAATGAAAGTAGACATGACCACATATAGAAAAATGTTATTCACATAAAATTCAAGAAGGGTTAAACTAATATATGTGATAGAAATTGGAATATGATTATCTTCAGGGAGAGAGAGAGTAACTGATTGGGGCAAAGGAAACCTTCCAGAATGATCAGAAATGTTCTTCATCTGGGTGGTGTTTGCATGGACACATACCTATGCTATAAATTCAATGAACTATCTACCTAAGATTTGTACATTTTACTATATATAAGTCATATTCCAATAAAACACTATAAAACATTAATATCTGTGGAAGGCTCATCTGTTGCAAAAAGTTATACCCACAAAACTTTTCTGTGTGTTTCTGAGATCCTTTGTACATGCATCTGTTACAAAACTTTCATGAAATTGGGAAGTACTGCTTCATAACCAGGATTGAAGATATTTTTATCCTTACTCTCTGCATATACTTATATGTAAGTAAATAAATATATGTTGGTTAAACTCATTTTCTTCTTTGAAGAGATTTCCAAAATGAAGAGATACATAATGAGGTGGGATCTGACTAAAGAAAGTCTACTAGGAAATAGCATCTGTAATTATGAATGTAGTTATATCATACTTTCCTTCTACAGACATAGTTTCAGAATTATATCCCTAAAAGGATTTGACTAAATTCTACATCAAAGTAAATAGAAAACTACAAACATGGGAGGGGAATAGACAAAATTAGGAATAAAAGCTAGAGACATCAGCATCTTGGCTCGCTTGCACCTGAATCCAGGTGTGAGTCATTTGCAGTTAACTTGGAATGAACACTTCTTCACCTACTCCTGTGAAGGGGACCAGAATTCAAGAGTCAACAAAACACAGTGCTTGAAATTTTCTTACGCAGAATGATAACAATCCATTTTTGAAGTCTAAATCCAACCCAATGAGAAAATTTGTACATTGTTCTTTCCTAAATGAAAATTCTAACTGCTATGCTCTTTTCCAATATGGTGTTAGTCCATGAGAGTTCTTACACTGTTTCAAGAAACCACTTAATAGGCACCAAATAGATAAAACTCCAAAGTCTTTGCCAGCGAATAATCAGATTCAGAAAACATGAGGGGGAGAGAGTGTGTATGTGGGGGGAGGGAAGGTTAGGAGGCAGTTAAGCCTTTGTTCATCTTCTCATCTCTCCCCTGATTCAGCAGTGACTTAACTGGCCTCCCTTCCTCTGATTTTACCTCTCTCCAAAAGCTAAATAGGGATGAATTTTTACAAATACAACTCTGCATTCCTGTTTCAAGTGCATCAGTGATTTCTGTCACTTTCAGGCAGAAATGGAAACTTCTGAATTGGGATTTCTGAGGTGCTTCCTATCTGGCGCCTCTTTATATTTTGTGTTTGTGCAGTACCCTTTGCTAGAACACCCTGCCCTTCTTTCTCCTGAAGAATTTTTTTTTTTAAAGATTAATTATTTATTTATGCAAGCACTGGGTACAGTCAGAAGTGCAGGAGGTGAGAGAATTCACCAGAGCCAGAGCTGGGAACAGAACAGGCAGACTGACGAAGTACATTGCTGAGGGGACCAGCGGGCGGCAGGAGAGACCTGTGCGCCATGTGGGACCCTCCCCAGCAGCCGGGGATCGAACCGGCGCTGCAGAGGCTGAGGGCAGCTTCACAGCCCGGTGCTCAACCGCTGTGCCACCGGGGAGGCCCTCTCCTGAAGAATTCTATAATCTTTTAAAACACAATTATCATCAGTGATTGTGGCTACCCAGTTGGGCTGGAGACCCCTAGTCTATGACAATGACAACCTTAACATTGTCTGCTAGATCGGGGAGTGTGGTGTACCCATAACATTTGCAATGCATTCACAGTACTTAAAAGTGGCAATACAACACTGATGTCTATAATGAGACTTTTCTAGTTTCCTTTTGTACTGATGAATTAAAAAAAAATTGGCAATCTCAATTGGTGCTAAGGTGATTTTAACCCATAAGACATCCTAATCACCCCTTGTAACTCAGAGAAATAAAAAGACACCATAGTTTCAAGGTAGGTGCCATTGTTGACTTAGAACGCAATGTTATTTTTAAATTAAATTTGAAAATATATATTTTATCATTCTTTTCTAATAATGACAGTTGATATAAACATTCCATATCATACCCCCTTTATGGAAGGGGCAAGTATTTTTACATATAAACTATATACATAATCTATAACATAGTATTTTAATGTATATAATATGCAGGTGTGTGTGATGTGGGTGATAGACACACAGATAAATTCTACCCCACATTTGATGCTAGGGCAGCCGTCATGGGTTAGCTGAGTTCCAGGGCAATACTGAGCAGAAGAGAAAAATGAGTATAAAAGTTTCCTCTCTATGTGTGTTTCCAAAGCTAAAAAAGAAGCTATAGATGAACTTCCAGTTCTTGCCTTTGGATATCTGTTCTTTCTTTCCAATAGAGTTCTCCCAGGAGGAGAAAGGGACTATGCACAAGGGAGATAAGGGTTCCAATTCAAAGATGGATTGGCTTGAGGAACAAGCTTTTCTTCATCCCCTAAAATGCTGCTTCCTTTAATGCCCAATAAGTTTCCAGCATGTGAGATGGTCATCAACTCGAACATGCTTCCTTCTTTAACAACAACAACAAAATCTCCCAGTCTTAACTTGAATTCAGTATAAAAACCTGAGCAGGCAATTTTTAAAAAGAATGACCCTACTCTACTGCTTCCTTTTCCTTCCCTCAATGCTGATCAGCTCCACCAGCCACCATTCCTTATTCTCTCATTTTTATTCTTTCTTTCTCTTTATTCTTTTTTATTTATTTATTTATTTTATTTATTTATTCTTTCTCTTTATTTTTATTTCTTATCTCTGAAGTCCCAGAGCATGGGTCCAAGCCTGCTCACCCTTACCTTTCAAATTTGCCTATAATAAGGTAAGGGTTCTTCATCCTTAGTATGTTTATTTTTCCCCCCTAAATTTCACCACCTATTTGTTTCAGCATGTCAGATTTTATGACTTTTTAAATAAAAATATCTTGAAACTTTTTTGGAAGAAAAAAAAAAGTATAAATTATTAACACTTAAAAGATGATCCTCCATCTTAAATATTGCTCACTACTCAGGAAATGTCCCACTTACTGTTACATACAAATGTATAGACCGCAGAAGCAACATTTTGTTTGCCACATTCTGTATTAAGTGCCTTGGGGAAAACATAGAACTTCCACTTACTTGGTTATTTCCTTGGGTACTCCCTGCTGCTCGAGACTTTAATGTCTGGATTTTCTCAAAGACCAGGTTGACTTTCCTTTTAGTAGCATCATCATTGTCGGTGCTTCTGGAAAAAAAGGCAACAGGAAAAAAAACAATGAGGGGACAACCACTGGCCTCAGCATGTTCTCTGTGCCATGACACAGACAACAAGCCCTTTAAGAAGGAAAGTTGCAAGAGACCTACATTAATTTAGGCTGCAGACAAAACCCGTGTATTTTTCTTCAAATAAATTGTTAGAAGTTTCCACCTGATTTGGGAGGGGGGTTCCCATTTCCAAATATACGAAAAGGGCCATAAATACATTTTAAGTAGGTTTGAAGAAAAGAAACTCAAAGAAAATTTAATTATTTGTTGTTTGATTCAAATGACTCATTCATTCCAACAAGACATTTCTCCTCTTTGCTCCCCTGCACACACATGCATGAGCACATACACACATTTTACTTTTAAATCTTAAGCCAATAATGATTTGCAGTCATCTTAATGTGGTCAGCCTATGTTTAAAAAAAAAAAAAATAATCTCCCAATCCCTGACTGCCGACACAGCAGAACTTTTGGTCTAGACATTCACAGGTAATGATCAGATAAAGCTTATTAACTTCTACCACACCTTTTGTCACACATACCTGACATGTAGCGGGAAACAAAAGATTTTAAATATTTCCTTAAATAGGCACCTCCTGCTAAAGTCTGTCTCACCAGTCAATAATACATCATAGGGGAAAAATTTTTAGAAACAATTTTAAAAATCAAGTTCTTCTACCTTAATCCTAATATGGTAAAACCCTACAGAGAAAGAAACTAATAAGTATGTCTTAGAAGAATCTCTCTGGTTGTTTGTTTTCCAAAAGCACTTCTATATGATAATTTGAACCCATTTTGTCGGCTCTTCATCACTGACAAGTAATTGTGAGGCACAATGCAAAAATAAAAAATGTTTTGATACCAAGGAGTATTTGCCAAATGACTTTCAGTCATGTCAAGCATAAAGTTTTTCTTTCCTTCTTAATCATATCTGATGAGAGAAGTGAAACAGAAACTTCACATTCCTGGCCTACAATTCCAGCAGCTAGTATCTAAGTAAGTGAAAACCAGATTACTCAAACTCAACCTCCGAGATAAGCTGGTGGAAAGCAATGCTTTTAAATGAGTCATACTTGCTTCAAAAATAATGGAAGCAGGGGCTTCTGGCCAATGTCAGTACTGGGAAGGGGAGGAGGTGTTTTTTATTTGGAACTTCTCATTCCTGCATTCATGGAAGACCTCAAGGTGATGGCAATTCAAAACTGAACAACAAGCATTCTTCCTATGTGCATTTGTTTTTGCAACAGAAAAGGGTCATTTGAAAAAAACACATTCCTTTAGGATTTTTAAAGTATGATGTCTTTCCCTGGCCTTCCCTCCCCAGGTCTCACCCCACCACCACCCAAGACTTAAATCCTATTCTAAAAACCTGTCTTAACCCTCAAATGGCTCACACCAGGCAGGAAGGGAGAACAAAACACAGGTCTTAGAAAAGGAAATGAAGGGCCCCACTAGAAATGCCAACACTCGACTCCTTTAAGGAAAATCACTAACCCTTCTTTGAGGTAATTGTAAAGTATCTGCTTGGCAGTCTCCTCATTGGTTTGCTGAGAAAGCTCTTGCTGACCTTTTAACAGATCCGGGGTGGCCTGAAACATAATGTCTGTTATTAGAACACAAGAGGATGTTTCCATGAAGAAGGCAAAAGCCTGAAGCAGAAGTTTCCAAGCATATTTCCACTTTCCAAAAAAAAAAAAAAAAACGATTCCTTAGGTAAGGATCGTCACACAACTGACAATCGCCTTGGGCAAGTTACTTAACTTGTCTTCACCTCAATTTTCTCACCTGTAAAATTGTGGTTAATAGGACCTACTTCATAGGGTTGGTGAAATCCTAAAACATATAACAAATTGTGCCTAGCACTTACCAACCATATTATCATTTTCATCACTATCATTATTTTTTATTATTACTACAAAACAATAGATGTGCCACTTCAATAAACTTCATCACTGTAGGATTAACCTAGTTTCTCAGACCAGAAACTAACTCAGTCATTCAATGTCATGAGGACAGTTTGGAACCTCTGTGTAGAAGCAAATTCTCATACTTTCAGATTTCATATCTTTAAACAGAAAAACAAACCTCTAGCGTGTGACAAGTTTGTTTTCAGAACAAGACCACAATGGGAATCTAGTTGGACTTGAATTAACCTAGAACACCACACAATTGGCAATAGGACATACTGTACAGGGGGAAACTTAAAAATTCAGATTTGCAATTGCTGATTTAAGGAGGATATGTAGGCCTGTGGCGTTTTATACCCTGAGGATGAAGATTTAAGTCATTTAGAAGGGGAAAAAAATACTGGATTACCTGAGTATTTGAGGTGGAAGTAAATGTCTTCACAGAAATCCTCTTGGCACCAGAGTCAGGAGAAGTTGCTACCCCCCGGTTCTGTAACATCAGGGTAGCAGTGGCCGTTTTGATCTCCTCTTCCTTGTTATTCTGAGCTGGAAGGGAGGACGGGCGCACTGTCCTACTTTCCTGACCAGCTTTGTTTTCTGGAGCTTTCCCATCTTTGTTCTGCTGGGCGGGCCTGGGGTGGGCACCCTGGGTGCCAGGCATCGCTCCCTGCAGCTTGGCAAAGGCACGCCCCGCACCCTGCCTCCCTCGGAGCTCGGGGGCCACCGGCCGGTGCCCACACAGCTGGGATGGTCGGAGCAGGTGTTCACTCGACTTGCCCAGGTTCCTGCTAAATTCGCTTAGGTACTCCTTGTTCCCCTGGAGACCAAAAGGAAAGGCACTGTCCACGCTTCGCGATCTCTTCCTGTCTTCTGGATCAATTCTGTTTCGTTTCCCAGACCTCCCTCTCCTCTGCAGCCCAGGTTTTTGGTCAAATTTTTCAATTAACTCATCTACACCAGGAATTGACCCTGTATCAATATCCCGCCCCGTTCCTGGCAAGAAGGGGATATAGCGTCTGTTTTCATGACGGTTCACGTTGTCAGCATGGATGGCACATTCTTGATCATCAAGTAAAAATCTGTACAAGGAGTTGGCTGAAGTGGGGGTGGTGGAGGATGACGAGGATCTCCGAGACCGAGCTCCATCCAGAACCGGCCCGGCTGAATCTTGCCGTCGGAAGGGCAACACATCTGGCCTGGTTTTCTTGGCTTCCAGTTGGGTGTTTGGGCTGTGGCTGGTCAGGGGCCTCCTGCTAGGGAGAAGCGCCTCCTCCACGATCCCCTCCTTGCTGCAGCTCTGAACGTTCACGCACACAGATGTCTGCTTCTTGGGGTCCTCTATCACCACTGAGCTGCATAAACGAATGGCTGTGATGCTGGATTTGGTCAGATCTTCCAAAGGTGGGCTGGCCAGCTGGGGACCACTGGATTTTGGAAAGCAAGTCCAAGCTTTCTTATTGTTGGTGCCTTCTTCTGATAAAGTTTTTAGCCAGTTACTCTCAGAAGCCTGGTGACTTTGTAAGTTCAACTCATTCTTTTCAGGATCATAGGGCTGCAAGAGCTCTGGGTGCCTCTGAAAGTTCAGCATGTGGGATGGCTTCAGTGAACCCTCTTTGCGTTCAACAATTCCATTCTTGCCCTCAAAGAAAGAGGGTTGTTTCAGGTTTCTTATTGGGCTGGGCTGGGCATATGGGTTCTCCGGGAGCTGCAGTTCTTCTTCATTGTTGTCTAGCGCAGACCCATTACTGGAATGTAGAGGCAGTTTATTTATCATTGGAGATGGAAATGACGGCCCGTTTTCAGAAAAAGATGTGCCTGCCAGACACCGCTCGGTATTATTCAAGACTATGTAGGGGTGGCCATCAATTCCCTGTACCCGAATACTGACACCATAGGAGCCTGACTTTGAGTGCTGAGAATTCCTTGATTTCTTGGTTTCATCACTTTCCAGTCTCAGGTGGACACCGTATTCCTGCTGCACGTGTTGGTATTCACCAAAATACAGCTCCATGGCTCACTGCTCCCACTACCAGGAAAAGAGGGGGGAAGGAGACAACATTAGGTGAGGATCACAACTGGTTAAACGAAGGTTTGGAGGGGAAATTTCAAAATTCAAAGAAAACAAAACATTTTAAATAGTAAGAACATTTCAGAATCAAATGCTTACCCAAACAGGCCTTTCTGCATGCCCAGGCCCACGTGACCATGATGTTTGTCAACTTTGGGCTTGACCCCTGACCTCGGGCTGCAGAGCTGGTGTAATGGCCTGACACCTTTCATTATTCTCTTTTTAGCTGACAGGTTTTTCTGGTTGCTTTATTCTTCCTTACTTGGTTTCCTCACACTTTAAGCTATTTATTTTAACCAATAGGATATTCCAATCACCAGCATTTGAGAAGGTACTTTTCCATGAAAATAAATGAGAGCTAAGACCCAAATAATTTCTGTTCACCATTTATTTTTTATGCCCTATATGTAAATTTTCTTGGCCAAACAACATCTTCACCCTTTTTTATGCACAGACTTGCTTTGACATCTTCATCTCTATTTGTAAATACTGTTGAAAAAATATTTTCACTCTAAGGAATCAGTTTGCAAGACAACCAGTGAGAGTAAAAGATGAAATATAGTTTTGTCAATTTTTCTTATCAAAAAAGTTCAAATAACATATTGACCTAAAAAAAACAATATAAAGAAATTGTAGACTCAGGGATATTTATTTTGTGATCGATAGTAATGGCAAGAAATATCAGAATTCCCCATTATCATAGTGGTCAACCTTATCAAAGACTGCACAGAGATCACAGGCAGGACGCCCACCCCACCCCATACTCTGAGGATCTCTTACTGGAAATTCAACTCTACCACACAGAAAAACTCCCACAATAAGGCCAACGCAGTAGGAGTGGTACCAACTACTTTTAGAGGCTTTTTTTTTTTCTTTTCTGTTTTAGAGTCAATCTAGTAGCCTATTTTCAAAAAAATTATCTATTTGATTTTCAAATTTATTTGCACAGTTTTGCAAAGCACGTCATTTCATTTCCTCTGTATCAATTTCTCATGATCTAATTTTTACTTGTGCTTTCTTAGTTCTACATTATACAGGTAAAATCTGCCTATTTTAAAAAATTTTTGTTCCTCTAAAGAACTCAGATTTAGCCATCTTTTCTTAATTCCTAATTTATTGAGTTCCAGTTTGATCTTTATTGTTTCGTTCTGCTTTCCTCATTTTGTTGTTCTGTTTCCAAAGCCTTGGCTTTCATGCTTCATTTGTTTATTTTCATTCTTTAATTATAATCCCATAATTTGTGATATGGACTATGATAGTATGGAATTATACCAGTTCCTACTAATAGAGAGACTAAATGGCAAATTAAAGGGAATTTTCCCCCAGAAAAAAATTCTGGGGTTGGAGCAAATCCAAGTATATATTTTTTTGAAAGATTTATTTACACAAGAACTGGGGTACAGGTCAGAGGCGCAGGAGGGTGAGAAAATTCACCAGAGAGAGCGGGGAGTAGAACAGAAAGACAGACCAAAGACACTGCTGAGGGGTGCAGGACGAGGCAGGAGAGGTCTGCCATACCATGTGTGTTTCTCCCTGGCCAGCCGGGAATCAAACCCGTGCTGCAGAAGCTGCAGACAGCTTCACAAAGCAGCACTCAACCTGCTGCACCACTGGGGCGGTCCTCCAAGTATATTTTTGAGAGACACTTTTTCTTTTTTTCTACCTTTAGCTATCTTAGGCATGCGGTATCACAAACATGTTATCTACCTTTAGTATATATTAGACACCTTATGATTACAAGATGGCTGATCCAGCATCACATAAGCCAGTCTTATGTGGACCTTTTTTTTTTTTTTTAAAGATTTATTTATACAAGAATGGGGTACAGGCCAGATGCGTGGGAGGGTGAGAGGATTCACCAGAGACAAAGTGGGGAACAGAACAGGCAGACTGACAAAATACACTGTTAAGGGGAGCAGCAGGCAAGACAGGAGAGGTCTGCCGCACCATGTGGGACCCTCGCCGGCCGGCCAGGATCGAACCGGCGCTTCAAAGGCTGCAGACAGCTTCACAGCGCTGCTCTCAACCACTCGCACCACCAAGGAGACCCTGGACCTTCTTTTTAAGGAGATTTCCCAGACATAATCACTAATAATCCCTCACATCTTATTGGTAAGAACTTTATCAAACAGCTATCCACATCTACAGGAGGGGCAGGGAAACAGTATTTCAACTGTGAATCTTGTTCACTAAAGACCAAGCTGTAGACGATGGTCATCTTTCCTTATAAAACTTAACTTTTCTAGACTTTATATTTTACTTGCCTTACTTTCTACATACCTATTCCTAAATCCCCTCATCAGTTACATCACATCTGTTAGATGCTTATCAGTATCATTTCCACATCAGATCATTTGGTGCTCTCTTCCCCTGACCATTGCTGCCCCCACTACTCCCTACCACGACCTCCCTACTGAAGCCTCCCATCCTCCTGCCCTGCATTAGGGGCTGGGTACTCTCTTTCTTTTGTGCTACATTATTTCCCAAGGTTCCTGTCTTGTTCTTTCATAACCAATTTATGATTATGGAGCATACTTAATGCTTCCCATGGAGCATACTTCTAGTCGCCTTTTAAGTGAGGGCCCAAAAGGGAGTAAAATTTTTGAAACCTTGTATTTTGCAAATGTATTTATTCTATGCATACTTTGATTGATAGTTTAGCTGAATTTAGAATCTCAGTTAAAAATAAATTTTCCTGGGCCTCCCCGGTGGCGCAGCGGTTGAGCGCTGGGTTGCGAAGCTGCCCGCAGCCTCTGCAGCGCCGGTTCGTTCCCCGGCTGCTCCCCGGCCACCAGAGGAGGGTCCCACATGGCGCGCAGACCTCTCCTGCCGCCCGCTGCTCCCCTCAGCAGTGTACTTCGGTCCTTCTGCCTGCTCTGCTCCCCGCTCTGCTCTGGTGAATTCTCTCACCCTCCCGAGCTTCTGACTGTACCCAGTGCATGTATAAACAAACAAACAAACAAATAAATAAAATAAATAAATAATGCATGCCTCTTAAAAAAAAATCATTAAAAAAAAAAAAAAAAAAAAAATAAAAATAAATTTTCCTCAGATTGTTTAAAGTATTTCTCCATTCCCTTCTACTTTCCAGCAATGCTCTTATAAATTCTGCCGCTGGTATATCCTTCTCTCTGTGTATGTCCTGTTATTTTCTTCTCAAAGTTTTTAGAACCTTTGTCACAGGTGTTCAGAAGTTTCACAATGACATACATATAAAAATGTTATAAATTTATAAAAATTGGGCTGTTCTATAAAACACAGGCATTTAATATATTCCTTCAACTTGGAAATTTATGTCTTCAGTTCTAGGAAACATCCCTGTATTATTTCTGTGGTATTATTTAGAGAATCATTTTGTTTTGCTCTTGGTTTTTGCATCTAATTTAATACATTAGTGATGTTGAGTCCTTTACAGCACATTTCAATTTTTCATATTTATTTTCTCATCTGCATTTTAAATCCATCTTTCTTGTTCTACTTTGAGAAATACAGCCTCAACTTTTCTTAAACATTCCAGAAATTTATCATTTCCCTTATCTCTTTCTTGTTCTCTAATTGTTTCTCTTTCATAAATGCTAGTTATTTTAGACATGATCTCTTCTCTCTCTCTCTCCGTATTAACTATAACATTTTCCAAAAAGTATATTTTCTCTACATCCTACAATGTCCCCATCTTCTGCAATATTTCTCTTTCCCTATTTGCCTTGTTCCCTGTCTTAGATGTTGAAGGCCTAATATGACTCAAATTCTTGAACTAAAAGCAGATTAGAGCTCTGTAGGAGTGAAGGGGCTTTATTAGGAGGTAAGCTTAGAGTAATAAGGGAAGAAAGATGCCAAGATTTCCTCTGAGGAACCCACACATTTCAGTACCTGGGGACATTTTTTTCTCTGCTGTTCAATTTCTCAAGGAAAGACTCCTCCATCCATTGCGGAGGCTACACACCCCAGGCTGCTGGCATTATGGGACAAGGCAGGGAACAAGCATGGAAGCCTTTCAGTCTCCCTGTTTTCAGTCACTTCACATGCTTCCAACATTATGCTACTTCCATTTCTCCAGAGAACAGACCTTCCGCCTGCTGCTGGAGTGGGGAGGGCATAGGAACAGATGGGTGCTTGGCAATGCAGGGTGCAGAGAAGACCCTACGTCTGGCCCTTGCCCTGACACATCCAGTAACCAATGCCTTCTATTTCTGAACCCTCCGTTCCACAGGCAAATCGCCTCATTCCTATTCTGCCAGCACATCATTGTGAAGCACCTAACACTTGCCAGTTCAATTACCACTCTTCCATTTGCTTCAGAGAGCTCCTCCCTGTCATTCTTTGTAGGTTTCCACATTCATATTAATTTACTACCTTTTGAGTGGGACTTTGAGAAAAGAGAGGAAAGTGGCCTGCTTTTAAACTTCTCTACCTCTACGAGGCTAATATTTGTTAACACTTGAATAGTAAGGACAGAAAGAGCAGGCCTGCCTTAGACTGACACAGCAATGCACAGAGGCCAAGATCAAAATGCTACGGTCTGTCTTGGCCTTTGGTTCCCAGCAGCGCTGGCATGTTTATTCTAGAAGTGTTTGTATTCATAAAGCTTATCACAATTTTTCTTTTAAACAGAAGTGCTGCTGTACAAATTTATTCACCGTGATGCTTTTTTAATGAAATTTACTAAATGGTGTCATTTCACTCACCAATAATCTCTTCTTATGCTGACTTAAACAATTCTATGAAAATATTTCTTCTAATATTAATAAAATTCTTTTCTCGGGTTTTACAGGCCTTTCACTAGGTGTTGCTGCTACAGTCAACACTAATTACATTTCAATCTTTGAATAAAGCCACCTTGATTTATTATAGCCTTAGTGCTCTGTTAGCAATTAATCCGCCCATTTGAATTGCATGAAATGTCCACAATTTACATTTCCTTGACAACAAACCTCAATCCAACGTTTTCACACAATGAC